ATGGGTTGAGTTTGACACACTCAGAAAGCTATTCCTCAATTGTAGTATTCTGTAAAGTAGAGGTAGCAGGAAGCCACCACCACAGACCTGTGGAACCCAGTCACATCCACACTGAACTTCCCTATTCTAGGCTTCCCAGTGATCAGTCTTAAAGATGGAATGAAGGGCCGGGCGGTGGTGGCGCACGCCTTTAATCCCAGCACTTGGGAGGCAGAGCCAGGCGGATTGCTGTGAGTTCGAGGCCAGCCTGGGCTACCAAGTGAGTTCCAGGAAAGGCGCAAAGCTACACAGAGAAACCCTGTCTCGAAAAACCAAAAAAAAAAAAAAAAAAAAAAAGATGGAATGAAGGACTACAAGATGAGTGCCTCTTTTTTACCAGCACCAGCACTGGGGGCAGGTTGTGTCCACTGCTGGCCTCTTTCCATCTCCATGTATTGTACACTGATTAGCTGTTGGCTCCACCTCTGTAGGTGTCCCTCGGAGGCTCAAGAGTCTTGATAGAAGGGCCTGTCCCTGCAGTACTCTGCTGGGAAACCCCATTCGGGTTGGAGCACAGGGCTTGGCTTCATTGGGCTGCATTGGACTGGCCAGCTAAGTGGAGAAATTGAGCTGCTATGCTACAGCTGCCTGTAGCTGGTGGGATTAAGACGACCACAGAGCACAAGCCTTGATCCCTAACTTGAAAGGTAGAGCTCTACTGGGACGTCAGTGGGGAGCGCCCACAGTGGCACCTAAATTTGCCCAGCAGCATGTGATGAAAGCTCCTCTGAGGGTTTAACTACTCCAGTGAGTCTCTAAAGCACAGTGATGACAAAAAGACATTTCCTCCTGCTGTCTCTCCACTCATTTTCTACGTGCTGTGAGAGTTTCCAGGTCAGTCAGGAATTTACTAGTGAGTCGAATCAACAGCCATGCATCCCAAAAGGATGGAGGATAGATGTACAGAATGTGCCGGTGACTGAAGAGTGAGAGCATCATAGCATGCTCACATCAGGACAACTACCACAGACTGTGACTGTGGTCCTGGGACCACAGCCTTATAGTAGTCCATTGCTGACCAGGTGTCATTATGTGATGTAATTGTATTGATTTATTCATGTCTTGTTTGGAAAAAGAGACAGAGCAGGAAGAATAGAAAATGTTCTTGCTGAGCGGTGGTGGCACAGGCCTTTAAATCCCAGCACTCAGGAGTCAGAGGCAGGGGGATCTCTGTGAGTTTGAGGCTAACCTGGTCTACAGAATGAGTTCCACAACAGCCACGGCTACACAGAGAAACCCTGTCTCGAAAACCAAAAAGTAAATAAATAAATAGTTCTTAAAAAATCTCTATAAGGCTAACATACTCTTTCCAAGTTAGTATTAGTGAACCTTTGGATGCCCATAAAGGCAGGAAGTGGCTAGTTAGCAAATGACCTATGGAGGCCAGGGTCTGGGTTTCAATCCTGGATTATAATGTAGGGTCCTTGTGCCTCAGTTTCCCTATCTGTCAGGTGGAGATACTAGAAGCTACCTCATAGGGAAGAATTGAGTTCTCTGAGTGAGACTGATGGTGTGTCTTGTGAATGGCAGCCACAACATCATGCAATACACATGGAAATATATGTCACGAGCATAGTGTGGTAACCCTTAGGGATAACAGGAGAAAGGGGCCTTGATGCTGGCCATGGGAAAGGAGTTTCTGAAAATTTCCAGGAGGTGATCCCAGAGCCTGTGGTTAAAGCACAGTTAGGTAGATAGGAGAGGTGAAGAGGGAGAGTTTTCATGATGTCTGCAGGAATGTGTGGGAGTGGCCAGCAGAGCTTCAGTTTGTTTATTCACTCACCTAGTCCTTGATCTACTGCCTGTTCAAGTCAGATTGGGCCACAGATTCACAGTAGAACAAAGTACATCTGAGCAGAAGCCACTATAGACAGGAATCCCTTCTGGTCAGTTACCAGAATCCCTGGAAGCCAGCTGTTAACCTGCTCAGGGCAATAGAGTAGGATTGCATGGCACAGAGCTGTCTGCTAGGTTCACATTCTGGCCTTGCCACTTGGTCCTCATGAGCTTTGGGCAAGTGTATGCCTCAGATATAAGACACTCTGATAGTGTGTCAGCTGTGGTTGCACAGAGCTGCTCAGGGGTGCTGCTGTGAGTCTAGAGGGTCAGGCCCTAACATTAGAGTGGTGCTCATAAACTCTTACTGACCACCTGTTTTCCCACAGAGGGACACAACTGTCTTGAGTATACATCCTCTCATCCTTCCTCTTTCCAGGCCAGCCCATTCTTTCATCCATCATAGGTTCTTTCCTTATAGGACCTTGTCCTGATCCCTGTCCGGATTCCCAAAATAGCTCCTGTTCTCCCTGTGGTGTGCTGGCCCTGACCATAGCACTTGTCCTCACATTTGGAATGACTTGTTCCCCAGTTGCACTCTCATTGAATGGCCTGTAACCACCATAATGGTAAACTGTCATTCATATCCCTTTTCCATATAATACATAGTGTTCACCAAATGAATCAATGAATGAACAAATTAATTAATGCAATGTAGAAGTCATTTAAGAAACTGCTACTATTGTTAAAGTCTTTTTCTGAATTTGATTGCATGGTCAATGGTTTAATATTTTAGGTCTTCTGACCACATAGGAGTTTTTACCATGCTGAGAAGGTGGCTGGGTGTCTAGGTGAAAGCTGCCTGTACAGGAGCTAGACATGCTTATTTGTTGGCTTTTTTTTTTTTTTTTTTTTTAAATGAAAGCTGTGGTTCATTCTCAGAGCTTCTCAGCAGGAGCCTGGAAGCTGACATTCCTGGTGGCAGATGTGCACAGTCCTCACAGGCATCTTGAGCATTAATGACTGTCACTATGTACATTTCATTCACTTCAGCATTGTTACCTGGCTCAACCAGTTGTCCCAGCCATACCCCAGTATAAACCACAAACCAGACAGCCCTTAGGAAACAGGTTGGAAACCCAGAAATACCTCTAGAAGTTTGTAACATTTCTTAAGATCCTTTAAAAAAAAAAAAAATCTTTGTGGCTCCAAACGCAGCTCCCTCTGCCGAGAAGTCTGTCTCCAGCGCCTTTGCTTCTGAGGTTGGTAGCTTTCAGAAAGACTGCAATGCAGCGGTTAGCAAAGCCCTGCTAATATGGAAGCCACTCGCTCCCCTTCAGACTGCTGCCTGCTGCCTGTGAGCTGAAGGAGGAGATGGTGGGTCGACCATGCCTCAGGACCCTCGGTTCTGTGGTTAGATGCAGGCAGTTTTGTGAGTGCCTTTGCTAGCCCAGGCTTGTCCTGCAGCAGCTCTTAGTTCCTGGTGCAGTAGGCTTTCCTCGGAATGTGAAACTGAAGATGCCTTTGCAGTCTGTGCCTGATAATTTGGTTTTCATCTGTGAGTTCAGATGGTGGGTTATACAAAGGTAAGGGACTTTAAAAAGCATGCATTTGTGTATTTTAAGTATTTATGGATATCCAAAATCAAAGTAAATCATGATTTGAATAGATCTCCACTGAATCTAAGAAATAAAACTTTGTGTCTTGTTAATGACAGTTTTGACATTTGAAGAATTGTCTTATTTATTGTGAACTAATGTTCTCTAATGAATTACTCAGGGTGTTCTTTGAAAAGGATTAGCCTTTCCTTTGGTTTTCTAATAAGCAAGCTTGAATCTCAGAAATGTAGATATGGATTATAACATTTGTTTCTTTTAAACAATGACTATTTCATTGATCTGGCTTAAGATATATCATCAGCCATAAGATGATGGATGATAAAGTCCAGTTCCCTGAGTTCTTATTTTTCCTCAGATAAAAATCCTCAGATGAGCATATTCTCAAGTGTGGAGCTCTGTACTTACACATGGGGCGAGCTGGCTACTACCTTCAGCTGGTCCTCTTTGTTTATCTAAAAGGGAGGCTAAATCCAAACTCAGAATGGTTTTGCTATAAATTGGTGACCCCAAAATGCATTGAATGCTTCATGGTTGTTAATTTTATATGTCCAACACCAAGAAATATAATGTCAGGGTTACCATGGCAACTGCATGTGTTCTGAAAAGCTTGTGAATGGGCTCTGAACCTCCTGGCATTTTAACTGAGATTTTCCAGCTGAGAGCCTGCATACATGATCAGTGTAAATAAATTCAGCTTTCTATGGAATGCACATCCTTTCTCTGTGCTTAACAGAGTTGGCTACCCTGCTCAGCTCTTTCTCTGGTGACATCTACCTTGCCTCTTGGTTCCTGGTCACAGACTATGGTTGAAAGCTTGTTTTCAGTCTCAGACTGAGGAGCCATCTCATCACAATCAGCCAGTGTGGGCCATGTCGAATGGGACTGACAATGCCTGGTAATCCCTGCTTCCTGAACTGTACTTGTACTTCATGTCCTGATATAGTATCGTGTCTTGGTGGAGCTTTCTGTCCATGTGAAGAACTTCTTTCCGGAAGTTTCCAGGCTCCACGCCTGACTTCCTCTTAGCTTGGAAGTTGTAGTGGTTGGTTTGGGGAAGGGAGCCCAGTGATCAAGCTTGTGAAAATTATAAAGTTGGGGGGGGGTGTCCATGGCTTCATTATCAAAGAATTGCTGGCAACATTTAGAGCTAGTTCATTCCCCAAGCTGAGCATGATGATATACACCTTTAATCCCAGCACTCAGAAGGCAGAGGCAGATGGATCTCTGTGAGTTCGAGGCCAGCCTGGTCTACGTAGTGAGTTCCAAGCCAGCCATAGCTACACAGATCTCTCAAACAACAAAAATGAAAACAAAACAAAGCAAAACAGTCTTCCATGTGTGTTTAAGCCTCATTGCAATCTTTTTGGAGATAGGGTCTTGCTTTAAAGCACCAGTCTGCTTGGGTTTATTACCATACCTGTCTGGCCTAGAATTCAGAATTGTATGGTGTAACTTTTAATTTGAAGGCAGCTTATTCTTTGAGTCACCCATTAGTGGGTGTATTGCTGTGGCTTACCTATGGGCCTCATTTAGAATCTTTGTCTAATTCTATCCCTTTATTTTCAGATGAAGAAACTGAGGCCCAAAGAAGTTATCCACTTGGTTGAGGTCCCAGAATAGATCAGAACCAGGTCCACTATCAGAAACTTCCTCCTGGCTCCTGACTGTCTGATCCCCTGAGGTTCATTTCCTGACAGACAAGGTTTGCTCTCAGTTAATACTTTTTTGTTTTCCTTTTGTCAGAAAGGGTGTCTTTCATAATTTCAGGTCTCTAACTTAGAGCTTTCAATTAAAAAAAAAAAAACTTTAAATTTCCATGTTTCTTTTTCTTACATCATTTATGAACTTCTGCTTAGTGTACAGATACTGATACATTCATGGGAAGGACATGGCTTCTGCCCTGTGTGCCACCTTCTGTGATGAGAGCTGTGAGCAGTCATGTACTTTCCAGCTAGATTCGGAATTGAGGAGCTGGGGAGCTGGCTCAGTTGGTACAGTGCTTACCATGCAAGCATGAGGACCAGGGTTTAGATCCCCAGCACCCTAAGTGCCAGGGCGTGGGGGAGAAGGGGGAGGTAGAGACAAGAGAGTCCCCAGAGGCTGCTGGCTAGTAAGTCTACCAAGTCAGCAAGTTCCAGGGTTAGGAAGAGACCTTGTGTTAAAATTAAGGTGGAAAGTCAGGCAGTGGTGGCGCATGCCTTTAATCCCAGCACTCAGGAGGCAGAGGCAGATGGATCTCAGTGAATTCAAGGCCAGCCTGGTCTAGAGTGAGTTCTAGGACAGCCAGGGCCACACAGAGGGACCTTGTCTCAACAAACAACAACAACAACAACAAAAATTGAGGTGGAGAATTATAGAATAAGACACTCAGTGTCAACCTCTTGCCACCAAGACTCATACACTTACAGTTCTGACTCAACACCTGTATTCAGTCACCGTTATGACACCACAGAATGACATAATGACGTAGGTTCAATCAGTCAATTTATTTATTTATTTTTGGTTTTCTGAGACAGGGTTTTTCTGTGTAACAGCCCTGGCTGTGCTAGGACTCTCTCTGTAGATCAGGCTGGTGTTAAACTCACAGAGATGTCTATCTCTGCTTCTCTAGCGCTGGGATTAAAGGTGTGCACTACCACACCTGTTTTCTTCTCCTACAAAAAATATTTATTTTTTTAATTTTTATTTTCTTTGTGTGAGTGTTATGTGTATATATGTGTGCATGACTGGTGCTCACAGAGACCAGATCCCCTAGAACTGGAGTTAAGAATGGTTGTAAGCTGCCTCGGGGATACTGGGAACCAAATCCTGGTCCTTGGGAAGAACAGCAAGTGCTCTTAATCACTGAGGCATCTCTCCAGCTCTTTCTTCTTTTCTTCTTTCTCTGCTGCTTTGCCTTTATTCAGTGAGCCATCTCATTGGCCCAAAATGTGTTTTTGATAACATAATTCATATAGAGCAAACTGTCTTGTGATACAGTGGTATCCAGTGTTGATATGTTCACAGTTGTTCAGAATTCTATTTGATTTTAGAACACTTTAATCAACCTGAAGGTATAGACACTTAATTTATTCAACAGACAAATAAGAATGAAAGACCAGCATCATGGCACATTATGTTGAACTGTGGTCCTGTGTACCTTGCAGGCACACATTTAGATTGAAGAGTGAAGTGGTAACCTGTGACTACAGTGGCCTTCACTGTAGTCACTGCTGCACTTCAGAAGCACTTTTTTTTGTTTTTGTTTTTGTTTTTTTTGTTTTTTGAAACAGGGTTTCTCTGTGTAGCTTTGGTGCCTGTCCTGGAACTCACTCTGTAGACCAGGCTGGCCTCGAACTCAGAGATCCTCCTGGCTCTGCCTCCCAAGTGCTGGGATTAAAGGCATGTGCCACCACCACCAGCTCAGAAGCACTTCTTATGTGAGTAAGACTTTATATTGAGGCTCTGGTGAGAGGTGAGCTGTAAACTAGAATTTTGAGGAGGGAAAGTCAATTATGATAGGTCAGAGGTCAGACTACAGACAGAAGGACATTTGTGACAGATCTTCTGATCAGATGAAAATAGACTACAGGGTTTGAGTTTATGTGTATGATGTACCTACACAATTTTCCTGTGCCATGTGTGCATTTTCCTGTCTTGTCTGCCCTCTGCCCCTTTTTTCCCACACATGCCTGTTTAAAAGATCACATCAGTGGGAGAAGTAAAGACATGATCCAAAAAGGAAAGATCTGGTCCTAGCCAGAACCAGTGGGGTCAGCACCATTTATCTGTAAAAGACCATTTAATAAATATTTGTGAGTCATTGCTGTGTATCTGCCTCTGTGAAATTGGTTCTAGTATTAAAGGCGTATTTTACACTAAGAATAAATTCAGTAGAAAAATCTTATTAAGATCATTCTTTTGTTTAGAGGAAGAAAATACAGTCATTGAAGGATATTTTCTTGACTTATTAAAAAAAAAAAAAAGATGTGAGCCAAGTATGGTGACGCACCCCTTTGATCCCAGTATTCAGGAGGCAGAATCAAATAGATCTCCGTGAGTTTGAGGTGAGATTGGTCTATATAGTGAGTTCCAGGACTACATTGTGACATCTTGTCTCAGAGCCTGTGTAATGCTACAAGCCTTTAATCCTAGTACTAATGAGACAGATGCAGACAGATCTCTGAGTTCAAGGTCAGCCTGGTCACTTAGTGAGTTCCAGGGCAGCCAGAGCTACATTGTGAGACCCTGTCTTGAAAAAACAAACAAAGCCAAAGAGGAGAGGATGAAATTGAGTTCAGGGTAATTTAACTTTTCATGGTCAGATCAACCTTTCATGTGTTAGAGAATGAGGTTTCACAAGCAGATGCATTGTTTCAACCTTTTGAAAGTGTCTAGACCCTCTGGTTGGGGAATACATCCTTGTGTATACTATACCTCAGCTGATGGCCTGTGTTTAGCTAGAGGATGTCTATTTTCCATAGAGGAGAAAGGTAATAAGGATCATCGCTGACATTCCTGTAACAAGATACGGGTTTATAGGAGAAGAACAGAGGAAGTTGATTCAGGGCCAACAAGATGGCTCGACAGTTAAAGGCACTTGATGCTAAACCTGACAACCTAAGTTTGATTCTTGGAACCTACATGCAGAAAGGAAGACTTGACTCCCACATGTTTTCCTCTGGTGTACATGTGTACACAATGGCACATGGTGTATACACAAGAACATAAACCTCTTAAATGCTTCCACAAGAAACGTCAAAATTTTCAGTTGTTTACACTTTCATGTGATTTAGGAAGGCTTCATCAAGCTGAGCATGGTATCTTATGCCTATTATTTCAGCACTGGGAGGCAGGAGGATCTCCATGAGTTCAAGGTTAGCCTAGACTGTGAGATTATAGAACAAATTCCAGGCTAGTCTGGCTACAGAGTGAGATTCTGTCTCAAAACAAAAATGAAGAAAATTTCTAGGGTGGATCACATTTGGAATCCCAGCATTTGGGAGGCTAAGGTAGGATTATTACAGTTCAGGAGCAGCCTGTACTACACAATAAGCTCTAAGCTGACCCGGGCTGCAGAGTGAGACCACATCTCAAAGGAAAAAAATGAAGACTAAAAAAGTTCCAGGAAAGCTGCCTTGGGCTGTATAGTCTAGACTGGCCTCAGATGTATGATTTTCTTGCCTCTGATTCTGCCTGTGACACTTTCTTTTGTTTGTAATGTACAGGTTTAATGAATAGTGGACAGTTGTGTAGACGTGACCAGAGATCTTGATCTGGTGGTCCTAAACTGAATGAGACCTGAGGAAACCTGTATATTCAGATCCTGCTTCGCCTCCATATGCAGCCTCATCTTTTCCTGCCCCAGCAGGGTGCTCTGGAGAGTCTTAGGACCTGCTATCAGATGAAGTAGGCCTGAGATTTTGAGTAGGGATGAAATGACATAGTTTATGTGGCCTAACTTGGGGAAGAGGAAATATGGTTTCTGTGAGTCACTATAGAGTAGAAAAGACAGGGACAAGAAGTCAGAGAAGACTTGCTTTTGAGGCTTGTTTATGTAGCTCCTGCCTCTATCCTTCAATTCAGAGGACTCAGCAGACCAGAGAGCCAGACTCTGGACTGTCCTTCTTTAGTCTCTGTGGTGGTTTGAAAGAAAATGGCCTCAAAAGGGAGTGGCACTATTAGGAGGTATGGCTTTGTTGGAGGAAATGTGCCACTGTGGGGTGGGCTTTGAGGTCTCTTATGCTCAAGCCATAATGCTCCCCATCCTGATGATAATGGACTGAACCTCTGAAACTGTAAGTGAGCCATCCCAATTAAATGTTTTCTTTATAAGAGTCATGGTGTTGCTTCATAGCAATAAAAGCCTTACTAAGACAGGCTGTAACATTTCTGTGTAACATCTACCATAGAATTAAAACCATGTCTCTATACTTAGCAGGCTGAGTTCAAATATTTTGAAAGAAAGTGTTAACATGAGATCCAGTTTGCCACACCATGAAAAGTTGCCTCTGATACTCCCAACTGTGGAAGACACTCAAGCCCAGGTGATAGTCTTGGTGGACACCTCTTGCCCAGCCTGTCTGGCCCTAGGCTATGAGCTGCCCATATGAGGATGCCCTTTCTCTCAGACCTAGTTGTGGGTCCTGCTGCCCAGAATACCAGTGATGTGCTTGCCTTAGGACCTTGACTCAGAACCTGTGGTTCCTCAACTTGCTTCCCCCTTTCTGAAGAAAGTGCTACTACTACTATTGTCATCATGGTCAGTGTGACCACTAGAGCTGCCACCTCTAAACTTGTAAAACCAATTGTTTCCTGCTTCCAAATTTGCTCATCTAAAGTTCTGTTGGTAGTATTAACTTAGAACAGGTTTCTAATGTGTTTTTTGTTTAAGAATGCCTTAAATCCTGGGGGGCAGGAGGATCTTTGTGAGTTTGAGGCTAACCTGGTCTACATAGAGTTCCAGGACAGCCAGTCTCAAAAAGCAGACAGACACCTGCTACCTCCTGCCTCTCACTAGGACAAATGAGTTGCACATTGTCCTGAGCACCATGTCGGGTTCCTCCAGCATCACCAACATGGAGAAGGTGTTTCAGCAGTTCTGGCTAGAGGTCAGGTTCAACCATGTGAAATTTTCCCAGGCAGCTGCACACTCAAAACAGTTTTGTCTACAGAATATTCAAAATGATCTTCTGTTGACTAGTGTCTTCTTCTACAAGTTCC